CCATACGACACCTCCGTAGCGCTTGATATTGCCAACATTTTTCAGTTTCCGAGATGTTTATTAGCCAATGTTTCTTAATGTTCAGATCTTTTATCACACATACTACGTTATAATATTATAAGTCAAAGTGATAAATCTCCCAAACAATACTGCCACTATAATAATAATAATACGAATAATAATAATAATAATACGAATAATAATAATAATAAACATAATAAAAAGAAGAAGAAGAAGAATTTATAAGATGGAGTAATGGACTACTAAGCTAAGAAGAAGAGGGAAAGTTTTCTGTACATTAGTTTTACGGTATCAACTTAACAATAGTTACTATTTTGTTCGATAGCACTGAAGTTAAAGACCCTTTTCCCGCCATTGGCATACTAGAAATTATTGAGGGTTCTGAAGACTTATTTCGAGGGGGAAAAGGGGGGGGGGGGGGGTGGTAGATAGAACCACTGCCTCCTAATAAGCAGTTAATTTGGAAGGCGTCTAATTTTGGGTTTTTCGTTCAATTTAGAGTGCATCAACCTGAGAGGTGAAGAAACAACAATGTGCGTGCAATTAAGACAGATCTTTAAAAGTTATTTGCACGCAGAACCCGACTTTTAGAAAAAGATCAAAGCTAAGAAGTGAACGAAGAACCATAACTTTCCGCACGAATCTACAGCAGGGGAACGCTGAGAAAAAGAATTAGAAATCTTTGTCGACCTTAAATATCACGATCAATTAACAAAAAAGTCGCTTTGATGAGTAAAACTCAAGACAATCTAAAGCGTCTAGCCACTGAGTTACCATGGCTCCCTTTTCATAGTATTATTAGGGCGACCATAATATCTTGAGCTGAAAACGGGACATCACCAACGGGACATCTCTTAGAAGTCAGTTTAACCCCCACCATTTTTTCTAGGTCACCGGGCTGAAACCCTCCACAGTGGTATTAAGGTCAAAACATAAATGAAACAATATGCTTTTAAACTGCAATAAAGAAAAAATAAACATGCTACAATTAAAATTCTTATCAACACATTTCAGGCGTGGAGGTATCCAAAGCTATGAAATCAAAATAACCTTAAGTGCGTGATCTATTTTTCAGCTTATTCCTCGATTTTTTTTTATGAAACGGGACAAGGGAAAGCTTATTTTTTGTGTGTGGGAGTACCGACGTGACGACAGAAAAACGCCTAAAAAAAAAAGGACTATCCCGCTAAAAAATAGTCACCTTAAGTATGGTCACCATAAGTATGGTCACCCTAACTATGGTCACACTAAGTATGGTCAACCTAAGTATGGTCACCCGAACTATGGTCACCCTAAGTATGGTCACCCTAACTATGGTCACACTAAATATGGTCACACTAAGTATGGTCACCCTAAGTATGGTCACCCTAAGTATGGTCACCCGAAGTATAGTCACCCTAACTATGGTCACCCTAAATATGGTCCCCCTAAGTATGGTCACCCTGAGTATGGTCACCCTGAGTATGATGTACTGACTAACCAAACGGGACAGAACACGACACACCCACCGCCCATAGTTGTGGCTCTGGCATCACTACGCTGGTGGTTCATGAACTGTATGAAACTCCACTGATTGGTCTTCCTGTTGAATCTCTCTACTGAGTGCAGGCGAAGCTGCCCATCGAAACCTCCCATTGCATAAATGAGACCATCCAATTCGGCAACGCTGACGTAACATCTGTTAAGAAAAAAAAAAGGTACACATATCTTTAGCATGTAATAATGTATCAAGAGAGATGATCAGAAAGACTGATATCAGGAAACATGATGGGCGAAACAATTGCTAAACTACACCCAGAGACAACAGATCAACTGTTTCGGGCATGCGTCTCTATTACCACAAAATAGAGACAACGGAAGCAGAACGAGCGGTCGCCCATGCAAGCCATAGATAGATGAAATGAGGTCACCAAGGCTGTGAGTACCAGCATCTACATAGTACATATCAAGGCTCCAACCAGATGCTCTTTCAAAATACGAGGCTGAAAGGTATGATAGGGTCTGGAGGAGGAGGAGGAGGAGGAGGAGGAGGAGAAGAAGAAGAAGCTCTTTGAGTAAGCTCTGGAAGACAGTGCAATAATATGGAACAAGATAAGGCACTCAAGTCCAAAAACATGTTGGAGGATATTGTTACGAAAATTAACAAAGACAATTGTGGAGATATGCGTATACCACTTGTTCGTATTGACTAGGTATCTCATCTCTCCCCCCCCCCCCCCCCACCCCCCCCCACACCCCCCCCCCCAAAAAAAAACCCCGCATTCTTCTTTTTCGTACTATTATTAGTTTGCTCCTTCGTCTGCTTTTTCTTTTCTTACCACTTATCCCTTTCTACTGCCTCTCCTTCTTTCTCTTCGTCTTCTTTTCTGCGTTTTACTTCCCGTGTCTGCCATATAGCAGATATCACCAAACATAACATCACAATCCTTTTTTCCCCTGTTGTATTGTTGCAGGTGGTTTTTGTATATCTCTCACTCCAATAAATGACGTTTTCTATATACAGTCTAATGTTTGAAACAGTAAAATCTCAATAACCCAGATAAACCCAGACAAATAACAACAGATACAAAAAAAAAAAAAAAACGATTCAGACCAGAATTTCTAACCTACCTCTTGGAATTCATCGGAGCTATCTCTGACCATGCCTTTGTGACTGCATTGAAAACCCGACAGCTGTTAAAATATTCCACGCCGTCGAAGCCTCCGATAACAAAGATGCAGTAGTCGATTGTGACACAGCCGTGGTATGCCCGGGCACCTTACAGATAGAAAACAGTAACAGTAAGTTAGTTGCCTATCCCTTACAGGACGTTGCAGAACCAACCCCCATCATTGTTTTGTTGTTTTTCTAGGCAAAGGTTACATTCAGTAGTTTCTTTATTGAGCTATCTTCCGAATAACGGTCTCAAATTATCGAGGCCGAAAATATACCCTAACAGGGCCTCAGTAACGTGTCGATCATGGCGACTCAAATTGCGCACTTCCGGTGACTTCCGCCACCAGCGAGAGTGTTACACACGCCGCTCACGCGGCGTGGCTTGTGGCTTAACTAGTTAGCTGGGACATACGAGCAGCAGCTACCGCATCTCCTGCAGCTTCCTTCATTCTATTTGCTCGTGAGTCCCAGCCATCTATTTTAGCCCCAATCCACGCCTCGTGAGCTGCGTGTGGGGATACCCTTTTCGGAAGTGCGCAATTCGGCGGTGGCGGTATAATCCCCGGAAGTGCGCAATTGACACGCGACTGAGGCCCTGTTATGGTATATTTTCGGCCTGAGCCCTCATGTTCCGCCACCTTTGATAATAATAATGACGATAATTTTGATGATGATGATAATCAGGGCCGCGCCGTACTACGAAATAGAGAGCGGCCGCATAAGACGGCACTATAAGAGGGGAGGGGGTGGCATAAGCAGCCAAATCAAAATACAATTTTAACTTTTGATCTGACAGCGCGAAGCTTTGAGGGGCATCATTTCGAAGAGCTGCTTCATACTAAGAAAATCTACCGCACAGCACTGATGATGATGATGAAAAAAAATGTCTTACCAACGTCATGATGCTTTGAGACCACCCATGAATCTGCCTTGGTATCGTAAACCTCCATCAAGTTGGTGGGCGTGCCCCCACTCCAGCCCCCTATAACGAATAGCAACTCGTGAGGCACCCGAGGGCGAGACATTCGATTCGAGGGATCAGTCGTGCGCTGATCGTCCCAGTCAAGGTCACACAGCAGGCGCAATGCCTCGACTACGATTGACTTCGCTGCTTCGCATTCCTTCACATATTTGTGCGGTTTTACCTGCCATAAGTAAAGGTAAAAGTAAAGGACGCTTTTGAGTATTGGGTTTACAGGGCTAGTCCTATATTTTATAGAACAACGTCACGAGATAGGTGATGTGGTCAGCATCACGCCGGCCGCCTTTACTTCCAGAGGCTGCACCTGGTACCCGATCAAGGCTGGGTCGACCTGGGAGCCAAGGTAATTTTTTTTAAGTCTGGCTCCGTCAGGGAGCAAACCCACGACCTTCCGATCCGCAGGCGAGCGTCTAGCCGCTCCGCCACGGCGACTCAAAAAACCATGTGGACAGGAATCAATGAAAACATTTACAAGCGTTTTATTAATCTACACAGCGCCTCAGAGATTGTTAAGCTAATCACACCAGTCAGCAGCTAACTAGATGTGGACATGTGGTCATTACCTTTCTGGCACAAAATACTCAAAAATTCCTTCTCATTGTCAGCCCCTAGTTACTTCATCGAAGTGCGCTGGATAAGTTGATTTTCGTTTCTTTAAAAAGCTGTTCTTGATGCAGTCGCTCCAAGTTTTGCCTAGTATTTCCTTTGCTCTAGGTTCATAAGATTTATTCATTGTGGCTGTCTATGGCAGTTGGTACAAGGACATACAAAAACTGTTGATAAGCCAACAAAACACACAGGACTGCAGTTACATTGTAGCCGTAGAGTTACAATAGTAGAAAGGATCCACTTCAGTACACCGAGTTTGATCCCATATGTCCAAGTCTCCCCCCGCAGAACGGCTAGTTGTACTGCCGAGAGCGTCACACAAATCACGAGCACCGCAGCTCCGGTGACGACCCCCAGTGGTGTTAGTAAAAATTGCACCCTTACACCAAACAAAGTAGCCGGGAAACGAATACACGACCTTCAGAGCGCGAGACAAACAGCTTATCCACTTCGTCACGGAGACAACAATATAACTGTTTATGCGGTTGAAATGGTTTCGTGGATCTGCTCCTTTCGGACTGGATAACGAAAAGTAGCTTATTGCGTCACTGGGTACTAATCTGTCAGGCCGCAATACGGGAGAGAAAAAAGAAAACAATATTAAAATACCTTTTCGATGAAAGTTCTGGTGGTAATGATGCCTAGTCGGATGCAGGTGAGCAGTCTGGCTATCTCCTGCTTCCTAACCTCCGGGTTGTGGTCGATCCAGCGGATGACGGCATCAAACACCATCTCTTCATTCCTCACGTTCAGGTAATCTGAGTCTAAGACTTCACACAACTAACAGACACAAAATAAAACTTTATTGTTGTTCCCTTTCATGTTTAATGTTTTTGTTTTATATTTCTGTAAAAATTTGGGCTTGGAAACAAAAATTAAACGCAATGGCGACGGTCAGTTATAAACGGGCATGAACAAGTTGAACACGGCATTCTATTATTTCTGTGTGCCATATAAACGGGGGCTACCTGGTCTCATGAAATGGCGTCCACCTCGAGTGCTGGAGGTCCCAGGTTCAGGCCCCAGTATAGGCTGGGATTTTTTTCACGTGGACTTCTAGTAATTTCCCTCTAGTTTCTGGGTAGTAAGATCGGACGCCCGTGTGCATTGTTGCGCCCGGAAAATATCCCTTGGCAGTTGGAAATTGAAAAGAGTCGCCTAACGGCGCTGCCCGGGCAAAATGTGGAGTCAAAAATCTACTCAAAGTGTTTCAGGATCCTTGCAGGTGCTACGGAGTTCGTGCACACACGCCCAAATTATTACATAGCTGAGAAGGAGGTAGTCACAACACTCTTAGGAGCATACAATGTCAACCGGAGACATGGACTAACTATAAACTTTGCTGGGGAAAAAAGTATAATACAGCAGACTATAAGAGTTCCCCATCTGGGTTCCGAGGCATCATTGTGAAGGACAACGACCAACACAGACGTCGTAAAAGTTGACTAATTAGTAGTGCTTCCTTCGAAGTCAGAGAGCATGCTTCCTTTGTAGTCAGAGAGCGTGCTTCCTTCAAAGTCAGAGAGCATGCTTCCTTCGAAGTCAGAGAGCATGCTTCCTTCGAAGTCAGAGAGCATGCTTCTTTTGAAGTCAGAGAACATGTTTTCTTCGAAGTCAGAGAGCATGCTTCTTTCGAAGTCAGAGAGCATGCTTCTTTCGAAGTCAGAGAGCATCTGTCAGTGAGGCAAGGAACAAATAGTCTGCATACAAATATGCCAGTTCTGTAAAACGCAGTACTCAAGTTATGGAAAAAGACTAAAGTCCAGAAGTGGACCAACAACCAGAACTTTTTACGGAGTTTACAGCTGGCGAGCCCGGCTTTCTAGCGTAGTTGGCTAAACCGGATTGCGCGGTGAGCGGGTGACGAACTCCTTGTGGTCCGGGTTCACTCCCGGGGGTAGGCAGAAAAGCCACATTTTCTCCTAGATTTACGGTATTTACAATGGAATCAAGGCCGAAAGGTTGCGATATCCATAATACCGAGCCTAAGGGTTAACAACTCATGGCTTCTGGATACTTAAACAAACAAACAAACATACAGTTGGTGAACCCATAAAAGAAGAAGACTACACGATTACACGCAGTGACGACGGTTAGTTACAAACGAGCATGGAAAAGTTAAACATGACATTCTAATAACTATGTTTGCCATTTGTTGGTAGAATCAGTAACCTTTAAGCCTATCTTAGGTAGCAGTCGTCAACGTTTGCGGTTATGATTAGAGTTTGATAATTCCAACATCGTTGGTTCAATTAAACTCCAGGCAATTTGTCAACAGCTCGCTTTGCGTCGATGACGACAGGGATATACGCGGTGACAGTTTAGTAATGAATGTTGAATTAATAATCGATATCACAACAGCCTGGGTGCTCCCATAAGCGCTTATTCCCTTCTTCAACTTCTCTCTATGAGTGCCGATCAATACACTGTCTGTTACTCAATACACTGTCTGTTACTCAATACACTGTCTGTTACTCGATTAATTCTTCTTCAACATCAAGCGAAGAGTTCCAGTTCATGTGGTACAAGTAACTGTCTGACTGAACATCCCTCTCACCATTTCCCTGAATGTCGAGCGACGACCAGTTTATGACAAAGGCTGAAATAAAACTGCCTTGAAAAACTAAACAAAAGCCATTAAAAGTTGGATGCGGCGTCTGTGGCTTAGGCGTTGCGAGTCCGACTCGCAATCCACCGTACCGCGATCGAAACCAACTGCTGACTGCGTGGATTTTTATCGTAGTATGGGGCGTCGCAGGTTGACCCATCCTAAAATGGGTACCGGGATGGTTGTCCTGGGGAAGTAAAGACGGCCGGCGTAATGCTGACCACATTACCCATTCAGTGCAAATTGGTCTGTAAAAATAAGGGACGCTCTGCCCATATATCCGATGCGCCTAAGGCGTGAAAAGGGATCTTTACTTTACTTACTATTGACAGCTGGAGAACCACTAAAGCCTCGGAACGAAAGTTAAATGCATTGAAAAACAAATGCATGAGAAACATGTTGAACATCAAATGGCATGAATTCAAGAGGGGTGCAGAAAAAAAAAGACATCCTGAGCAACCAATGATAACATTTTTCAGACAAAGAAGATGGCGCTTAAGTGGATGCATCTTGTGAAGAAAAGAGGAGAGAATCCCTCAAACAGGCACTAATATGGGAAACATTGGGGTTCAGGAAGCGAAGACGTCTAATGGAAACACTGAAATGAACGTTAGGGAGAGAGGCCAAAGATGCTGGACTGGACTTAATCCATGATATCGAATGAATTGCACAGGATATAGTAGTAGTAGTAAATTTTACCCGACTGGACATCACACAACAAGCTATAAACACCCGATGACACAAAGTGCCACCATGTGGATGAGGATCAACCTTGGAGAGATCCCAGAAACCGCGTTCAGCCATCAGACCATATTTAAGGCCGGGTTATGCTGCGGCCCTTGGCAAGAGCCAGGATGGGGCTTCAAAATAAGGAAAAATTGCATCCCATAAGGGGATTACTGCACAGGATATAAGTGAATGGAGAAATAGCTAACGCTACGTGACAAATAATGGCACAACATGACAATAATGATATAAAGTAAAATTACAATCAGTGACAAATAATGGCACAACACGACAATAATGATAGAAAGTAAAGTTACAATCAGTGACAAATAATGGCACAACATGACAATAATGATAGAAAGTAAAGTTACAATCAGTGACAAATAATGGCACAACATGACAATAATGATGGAAAGGAAAATTACAATCAATCAGCAAACTGTAGGATTGCTGTGCAATATTCTGTACAGGATATGCAAACAACATTAACTTTAATTAGAAGGCAGATTTTTTTGGTGTCGCATGCGTATGTAGAGAACAGATTTTGCAGTGTTGAAGGTGACTTGTATGTAAGCAATGAGAAAAACGGGTTATAAATTTCATGATTACGGTGAGCATGGTCCGTCTCGAGAATTGCTGGGTCGATAAATGCTCTCCCTTGAAAAGGAGCACTTTTTAAAATTGATTTTTATTCGGAAAGTATTATAAATTGTATCACTTATCCTTTGTCAAAGAATACTTTAATGTAAAGGAAACACCTTTCTTTCAGACATGAAACTGCTCCCGTTTGGGTTCCAGGGTCCTATTGGTGAGTCGATCTACTACCCACTCCCAAACAAGCATGTCGTAAAAGTAGACTAATTAGGGGTTTTAACTTCAAAATTAGAGTGCATCATCCGCCTGAGAGGCCGGGAACAAACAGCCTGCCCACAAATAAGCCAAAGCTTCAAACGAATGTCAATGTAATACTCAGGTTACGGAACCAGATCAAAGTACAGAAGTGAACCAACAACTTTTCGCTGGATTTTATAGCCGGTGAACACTCAGAAGAAGAAGAAGAAGAAGAAGAAGAAGAAGAAGAAGAAGAAGAAGAAGAAGAAGAAGAAGAAGAAGAAGAACAAGAACAAGAACAAGAACAAGAAAAAGTAGAAGAAGAGAAATACCTCATCATCCTAAAGACGGGAGGTGATACCAGGAAAATGTGTTAGATATGTTTAATTATGACTGGCTACAGCTTTCTTTGTGAAAAAAAAAATCGTCATGTTCAACCAGCGATCCCGAAGGGGAGTTTTAGGTTATAATTGTGACTAGGTTATGTGCGCCACATAAAATAGCTTATCATTGGTCGCCAAGCAACCCTGAAAATCACTCTTGCAGTGTTGATGCGATCATAGGAGACAGACCCAAGTACTGTGCTGACCGGTGACGAAATCGTTTACTGACGAGCCAATGGGGAATTCGGTTGTCGATGACTGGCTACGAAACTACCGGTTAATAAATATATACCCCAGTGTATATAAGTTACCAGAGAGATATATGTACTTATTCGGCATGATAACCACTATGCAAATTTAGTATGACCCTGAAATAAAATTATTGGAAGCGCCTACATTTAGACAAAAAACAAAGCCAAACACAATATACTGCCTTGACCTGATCAATCGGCATTTCCAAGAACTCTTGACTAACAGTAGACACGTCCTGAAATCTCTTTAGAATGAAGTTGTGCGCCTCTTTCTCCAGGTCCTTGCAAGAGTATGTCTGAGCGAAATTACGAATGCCAATGCAGTTCTCGGGGTTAATATTTTTCTTCAGGAATTCACAGCACGGCTTGATCAAACCAACGACCAGGAATCGATCTGCCGCGGGCAGCAGCTCTTCGATGTTGGACCAGCTCAGCTGAAACATGAACAAACCATGGTGCACTAAAGTCACATATGGTAATTACTGTCAGTAAACGGCTAATTCTGACGGGTAACATAGTTTGTCCTAATCTGTGGAAGTGAATCATGAACAGTTGGCATATTAGCGAAAAATCACTTGGAAGCTGTAGGATGTGGTTTTATCAACAAAAGGTGAGAATACACTCGACAGATTTAAAAAAAAAAAAAAGGGAGTAATGAACATGTATTGAAAGAACCTGGCACAAGAAGAGAATTGATAACCCTCATCAGAAAGAAACAAGCCACATTTTTTTGGGGTCACATCACTAGGAGGAGAGAAATGGAGCACACATCGGGAGGGAGGGAAAGTTGGAGGGGAAGAGGGAGACCAAAACAGAAGAGGCGTTTATAAGCATGGCATAGAAGATCATCTTCATAAAGGATTGAAAATACACGAGACAAAAGGCCATGGAAAGACATGATCGCCAACGCCGTATGGCGTGGACTACAAGAAAAAGAAGAGAAAGAAGAAAAAGAAGAAGAAGAAGAAGAAGAAGAAGAAGAAGAAGAAGAAGAAGAAGAAGAGCAGGATGAAGAAGCATAATAATGATAATAATAATAATAATAATAATAATAATAATAATAAGGTACTTGACATAAGGTTATGCTGATGACAAATGGCCACAAGTCAGAAAGAGAGCTCCGTTCCCATCTTCAGCAGCACGCGAAGAGTTTCAATTCGGATGGCATCAGTAACTGTCTGTACATCCGTCTCGCCTTTCACCTGAGTGTTGAGCGTCGGCTAGATCCCCTGGTAACTCGTCGCAGCGACATTCTTCTCAAACCATAATAATCTATTTGTGCCTACGCCCTCTTCACTCTCTCTCTCAAACCATAATAATATATTTGTGCCTACGCACTCTTCACTCTCTCTCTCTCAAACCATAATAATCTATTTGTGCCTACGCACTCTTCACTCTCTCTCTCTCTCTCAAACCATAATAATCTATTTGTGCCTACGCACTCTTCACTCTCTCTCAAAGCACCAGCACAACATTTAGCTTGCCATACATTAGTTCACCAACAAATATTGCAGAATAGGCCAGTCTATCAGACTGCTCGTTTCCCAACACACGGGCATATTCTGGAGAAAATATCCAAAGGGCTCGCTAACTACGCGGGACCTCTGAAGCGATGCTTGATATATTGCACGGAGCATGCCTGTCTCCACCTTTCTTAACGTGCTCTGTGAGTCAGTTACAATTACTACATGCGCGTAGAGCTGATTCTCAAGCCAGCGGAAGACAGCAGGGAGTGCCTCCACCTCTATTCTCAGACTAGACGTTGTGATGGAAGAGAGAAAGAGAGCGCGAAGAAATTTTTGACAGCTTTTTGTCATGGCATGGAGGGGTGTCAACACACGAACCGATACATGCAGTTACCGATCGCAGATCGTGGAGCGGAATGATAGCCCACGCCAGACGGCAGAGCACTTGATGACTAGACAGATCAAAGATAAAAAGTGCAGGGAAAAGCCTAGAGAAATCTAAAAGGATGGCCTAAGACACTGCAATTCTGAGCATACGTTGAGCGCCTGTGCACATGAACATCTCTCTCTCTCTCACTCTCTCTCTCTCTCTCTCTCTCTCTCTCTCTCTCTCTCTGTGTCTCTGTATATCTCTAAAACATATGGAGGTCTCTGAGGCGAAGTGGTCAAGCCGTTTGCCTCACGCAATGAAGGTAGTGGGTTCGTTTCACGGCAGCGCCGTTCAGTTGACGAATGCAGTTTTTACTGAGATCACTGGGGATCGTCGCTGAAGCTACGGAGGTCGTGCTCTGTCTGACGCTCTCGACAGTGTTCTATCTGTTCTGCGGAGAAAGACTGAGACATTCAGGATAAACCCTAGAGTATTGAAGTTGATACTCTTACCTTTACAGTACCTCTAAAATATATACACACAAATACACACATACACGCACGTATACAATGCACCCATCACCAACGAACATCCAAACACAATACAGTACCCACCCTAACATGTCGCGTGTAGGCGTAATCAATGATGGCCGCCATACTGTCGGGGCTGATTCCAGTGATGCGAATCTCCTGAGTGTTTTGGTCAAACTGACAATTTGTGAACAGGGCTCGAAAGTAAGGGCTGCAGGCGGACAAGATGTTTCGATGAATTGGGAATGACCAGTCTTCCACCTGTTGTACAATAGGCTACGTTAATGAGACATTTAGTAATCTCCCTCAGTACCCAAGAACTCACCCTGCGTTTCTCGATTAATCCATTCATAATATATTTGGCTTAACTCCTTTTGCCCCAGCCAATTGTCGTATGAATCTGGTACAGGTCTTTTCAACTGAATTTACTCAGGAGCTAACATTTTGGAAGTGGGGATTGTCACAGCGGAGAAGCCGGAGCTCCAGCGTAGAAAGATCATTAATACAACTGGTAATAATCCGCAGGCCACGTTTTTGGCCTCTCGCGGGCCCGCCAGCCGCCAGCTGAATAGCCCGGATATAATTTATTCCAGCTGTTGACTTTAATTTTATTTAGTCTCTTTAGACACGCCCATTCAATAAGTTAAAATAACTTGTCAGAAGAAGTTAAAGTGCATTTGCCTGGAATTATTATATATATTGGCTATCCTGTCAATATAGTGGATAGGCAGCTATACTGATTTTAGTAATATTAAGTTTTTTTACTCTGACAATAGTTAACCGTTGCATTTTTTCTTTGTATGTAAACTGAAAGGACATAGTTTCGTCATATAGCATCTGAGCTGAGTGCATGGCACGACACTGTGAACTGCGAATTTAATTTTAAATTCTTTTCGACTGTGACCAGAGTGGTTTGTGTTGTGTACTGTAGATTCAGAAATGGCTAGTGGCGTGTTGTCAGATAAATTGTTGTGCCGCACCTACTTAAAATTACGCGTGCAAAACCTAATCTAATGTAACTTCTGCTTCCATCGTCAATGAACTGCATTTCCAGTTCCGGACTGTTTGTGTTGGAACTTCTGACGATTTCCTTATGCGTTTAAGGCGTGTGCATACTATTAGCTTTTGCCAATTTAAGACTACGTTATAATAAATAAATTTGAAAATGTGTTTTAAGTTGTTGTTGTTGTTTTGTGTATGCACTGCGTACGCTGTAGATATGGTCATAGTGTCAGCAAACTCAAATCTGTAAAACCACAATTTCAACGAGCTAAAATACGATGTATAAGTCACAAAATCTTAATTTAGTATACTTTAGTATAAGTGAATACAATCTCAAATTAAGCATGATAAATAAGCCGCTTAATATAACTTTGCAGAAATTTTAATTTGAATAACTATAATTACGATAATTAGGTCAATATAACCGTAATATAAACACCCCTAAAGATGATAAATAAACTAAAGCTACTTTAGTTTGAATTAAGTTTGGAACAAGAATTTAGCTCTTACAACCTTAATTTGAACAGGTGTAAGCCCAACAAAGAAGCGAACATAATATAAATTTACAAAATGTTTTTCAGTAAGTAAACAGGCCAAAATAAGACGAATTCGAAAAGATTTAACCAAGACAAAGAAGTCTGCAAAAACCTTAATGATTGCATCACAAAGCTCGCCAGTTTTCCGCAGTTCTGCAAGAACTTGGCAGGCGTGTGCACTGAGCACTTTTTTCATTTCGGCGTCCGGGACAGGAGCAGGATGCGGAGCCGCAACACAACCTGCTGCACCGTCCAATGGTACCTCGTTCGTCATGGCTCAGGTCTAGTTGATGTTGCAGTCATCCACATCAGGATTTGTTGTTTATCCTCTAGTCTTGGTCGAGGAGACATGTTGGTTTGCTGGCATGTGGCATGACGAAAACGGATGTGTACCGCATCAAGTTGACCGTGACGTCAAGTTGGGTATTGTTGGTGCGGTGTGAACGCCTCAGGTTCACAAGAAATGATAAATATAACACTTCTTTTTCTTCTTCTTCTTCTTCTTCTTCTTCTTCTTCTTCTTCTTCTTCTTCTTCTTCTTCTTCTTCTTCTTCTTCTTCTTCTTCTTCTTCTTCTTCTTCTTCTTCTTCTTCTTCTTCTTCGCCACCTCCTCCTCTTCCACCTGGTACCTCAGCGAGATGTGACGTTCGTTGATGAGCTATGTCAAGAGCACTTTTTTGGATTATTGTTCGTTTCTGTAAGGCTGTTCTTTATGCCATTAGTCCATGTTTTACGAGGTCTTCATCTCCCTTTATACCCGTTGTAACGGTTCAGTGTGGCTCGCTATGATAGCTAGTTGAGCATTCTTGTTAGATATCCAAATCACTTCATTTGTTGTTCTCTGATGACCTGTAAGACTGACTTTATTCCTACTTTGCGGTTTCAGGATCGATGATAAATTCTACTCCATGATTTGGACGTTGCAATTCCTCTACTCCCGATTGAATCAAAACGTAATTTTAAATTTTTCTTCATTTCTCGTCCTTTCATTCTCACTTCTGATAAAGCCTAACATTTTAACAATATATTTCTCCATTATTTGTATCACACTTGATCTGCTATATTGCCACATCCACATATATTGATCGCCCCTACCCTGGATTAACCTTCTGCTGGCTAAATATAACACAATATATGATAGAAAGCTCAACGGAGGGAATGGAAAAGACACTCACCAACGTAACCCAACGTTTCGACGGTTGCCACAACCACACTTGTTGTAGGTCTTTTGCTGATTCCCCTGCCTGATGCATTTTCACACGCAGTGTACCATCGACCCCCACCCCCTCTCCCTTTCTACCCCACCCAGCCAGCCACCCAGGAATATTTTATGTACCTAGGCGTTTTTAAAAGACAATGCAGTATGTTATGTGGCCATATTGTTTCAGTTTTCTATAAATGAGGCAGTTAATGAGACAGTCATTGTCTTTAACGAAAAAAGAAGACGAAAAGCAAAAGCAGCTGAAGAAGAAGACGAAGAAGAAGAAGTATGTCACCTGTTAGTCGTTACACACACATATCATGTACCGTCTTCACAGTGAGGGTTGGATGTAATGTACCGCTGTTGTCTTTAGAGACATGATTGCCCACATCAGGAGACAATCTACACTCTTCGGTCATGTCATAGAAAGAAAACTAGAGTGCATCGTGACAGTGGGTAAGTTAATGGAGAGGTAGAGGGAGACTGAAGGAGAGGATTTTGGACAGTTAAAAATTAGGGCATGGAACATCATCTGTGCCATAATTGATTGAAAGTACACAAGACAGAGGGTTGTGGGTAAACGTGACTTCCTATGCTACATAGAATTCCAGAGAAATTTGACTAAAAAGCTCAGCAAAATGGGGAAGCAGAAAAACGTGCACAAAACAACACAAATAACGTAACGTTTTTAACAAACCCCTATCCTGTTACTTATGTTTGCGTTCGACTGATTACTCTGACATTTAAATTGAAAAGGCTGACAACTCCATAGACTAAAGTATTCACAGTCTAGCAGGTTATTTCCCTTAGTAATAATGCATGGTGACCTTATTGGTGATTTTCGGAACAAGAAATATACCATTATTATAGATGAGTAGCAAAGATTTCATCCCATCTGAGAAAATGCTCAAAGATTTTACATCCGAAAAGGTTTACGCTGTGTCTTCCACTTGTTCGAGTGAGGATAATAGTGAAGAATTTAAGAATTTAGAGCTTTTGATGTGAAGCGAGTACAATGTTACACTTTATCTTGTATTTTTCTGGCATATTTTAGGCAATGGTTTGGCATAAAATGAAGTTTTTTTTTTTAAAAATCTGGCAACCCTGCAGATGTCAGCACAGAACGCACAAACTTCGTAGCTGCAGCATGTCGTTTCATCACATTTTTGCCTTTGATAGGCTGATCACATCCCTCCACCTCTGACTGCAAATTCATTGGCGTTTTTTATATTTGATAGTCCAGTCAGACAGATTTTGCATCCAGCTTTTTCTTTATCTTCCAATGAAAGGCTCATTTTCGCCCGTAGCTATGGACTCAACAATATATGTAAAGCTGGCAATCCTCTCCAAGAAAACAGAAATACCACAGTGGAAAAAAAAATTGAAAGATAAACTCAAAAATAAAGAAAAATAAAGTCTAGGTCAGAAACCCGTCATACTATACCATACAACAGACTATGGGGTTGGGGGAGGGGAGAGGGGCTGCGTGGTCTTGAGGCATGGTATTCGCCTCGAGTGCTAGAGGCTCCGGGTTCAATCTCCGATAAGGGCTGAGATTTTTCACATGGACTCGGACTTTTAGTTTTAGTATTTTCCCCTTGTCTTTGGGTAGTGAGATCATACGCCAATTTGCATTGTTGCGCACGTGAAAAATTCCTTGTCAGTTGGAAATCGAAAAGAGTAGCCCATGCAAAATTTGGAGTTAAAAATCAACCCAAGTATTTCAGCATCCTCGCTGGTGCTACAAAGCTTGTGAACTGTTCAGGTTCTTAACTGAGCACTTATGGGTGCCACCCGTGTGCCATGATTCAGTTGATCCATTGTTTAAAACCTCAAAAAAAAAAATGACAATGGGTCGGGACCCTTTTTTGTGTGGGTCGAACTAAACTTTCACAGGGGTCGCCAGTGATTATCGCAAAACAAATATTAATTGAAGTTATTAAGTCACGCGAAAATAATTGTATGGTTGTGGTCACAACACGAGGAACTGTATTAAAGGGTCGCCACAACACAAGGAACTTTGCTGTTGCACATTATGTCGATAAAGGCCCCTTCTGAAATGTCTGATTTTTGTGTGTGTGAATGTGTTTGCCCCAGTCCTTAAAAAAGAGAAAAGGGCTTTTGAGTTGAAATGCTATAAAAAAATTCTCAGAATATCTTGGACAAAGACGAGGAAAAAAACTGACACCTTGAAAGATCTGAACATCAAGGAAGATTGGTTATAAACAGCATCCTGTCTCGGAAGCTGAAATATTTTGGTCATACCAAGCGCCACGACGGATTGGAAAAAATTATAGAATAAGGCATGGTACCAGGAAGGAGGTATAGGGGCCGACTGACACGAAGATGGGTACAGGATATAAGTGACTCCTTGAGTATGAAAGTACATGAGGTGGGAGAGCTGGCGAGAGCCCGATTTCTTTCAGGCAGACCGTGATGAGAGCGATGTACTGCAAAGGACTTGCTACATGATGATGATGAATGTGTTTGTATGTATGTATTTATGTGTGTGTGTGTGTGTCTGTTGTTCCCATTCCTCCTTCGTTAGGCTTCTTAGTCACAGTTTAGTGAATTAATTTCATGTAGAGATCTGATTGTCACACAACAATAACTTTGAAAAGAACATTTGAATCAGATCATTCAATCAGTCAGGTGAAATCTATGCAATAAAAGTTAACTGCAGTGAATCTCAAACACCGTATTTTAAGTGATTAAGTTGTATGTTTTTATAGACTTGCATTTGCAATTTTATTTTCCATTTGTATTTGATGATCCCCTTTTGCACACCAGCTTTAAACTGTTCCCTCCAGTACTTTAAACACTGTTTAAAGTGATTAGGTTGAATGTTCTTATAGACTGTCATTTGCAACTTAATCTTCCATTTGTATTGCTGTTAACCTTTTGCTCAGCAGCTTCAAACTGTTCTCTCCAGTACTGTTGTTATAGAAACCACAGTGGTGTAGCAGCTAAGCTCCAGCCTGCTGGCCAGAAGGTCTAATATTCAAATCCACATTGAGTTGGAATTCTCCCTGCCCTACCCCTTCCCCCCAGAAATAACTTTAGCTCCTACATCAACCCAGCCTAAAATTGGTACCAGGTGAAGTCCTGGGAAGCAAAAGTGGTCAGCACAATGTAGACCACATCACCCAATAAGTGTCTACTAGTCTAAAAAAAAATATCAATCTAGCATCATATGTCTAATACGACACTGATATTAAAAGGTCCTTTACTTTTACTTTACTATAGTTGTTAGAGAGCAATATAACTAGAATGTCTTTGCGTTGGAACCCACAGGGGCATAGAAATAAAGGAAGACCAAAAAACACATGGAGAAGGGAGCTGGAGAATGAAGTTAGAAAGATAGGGAGGACATGGGGAGATCTGCATGCGATAGAACGACTTGGTGTGAGTTAGCTGAGGGCCTATGCTCCATTGGGAGCTACAAAGGCAGAAGAAGATAGTTGTTATGAAAGTACAATGTATTTTAATCGTGCTGAAATATTTATTTGTTTAACTCTTACAGTCGCAGACAATGCACTATGTGTGAATCCCTCTATCTGTTGAATCCACTGCCCAGCTTAGTTTGTTGTCTTTGTTGTATTTGGTCAGAACACTCAATAAATCTGGCTTATCCAATGGTCACTGCTACTGTTATATTACTGTTGTAAAAATAATGCATTGATTAATTTTAATCACAGATATTTCTTTACACATCTCCTATGAAACCTTTTGGTGCTAAAAAAAGAAAAAAAAAAGAAAAAAGACAACTCTCATTTTCACTGTCTCTCTAGAACATTTAAAAGAATCTAACAGAGAAATTAAACAAGTGATTTCAGGTACTGCATCATATATTTAGTGTAGACTGCAAAAAATGTAATAACTTTAAATATGCTAACAGCATAATACATGTTATATGAAACAACACATTTGTGGCAAATATGATTTGATACAACAGTTTGAAAATCTTGTCAGTAATATTTCATATAAGATTTAGAAACAAATGTATTTCTAAGTAAATGTATGCTGGTAACTAACATTTACTTGTGTACAAAAATATAACCATAATATAATGCCAGTGTAGGTATATGATACTGAGCACTTGTAAGAAATACTTAAGGTTCAGCAGTTTTTATTTGAGCTCAAATGTTGTTTAAAAAAAATTTGACTTGTCAAACTCAAATATAAAACGTTAACAAAACTTAGCATACAAAATGCATGCAATTATGCAGAAGTACAGCTGTATCATACAGTTTAACGTATGTACAGTTAAATATACTGTATAACTGAAGAGAGATACATTAACTTATGTAATTGAACAGAAGTATAATTAATTAAATCATACATTTGACCATAGGCAGAATTAACTTTACTATACAGTTGAACAGAAAAACTATTATTTATACTATATAACTGAACAGAGGCACAAATACATACATAATACAACTGAGAAGAGGTACAATTAAATATATTATATAACTAAACAGAGGTATAAACAACTATATTATATAATTTAACAGAGGTACAATTAACTATATTATTGTATATAATTGTACAAAGGCACAAATAACCACAACATTTAACTGAACAGAGGCACGGTCAACTATTTGATATAACTTAACAAAGCCCCTATATTTCATCTACAATGTAAACAGAATAAAGGCACTTTGAATGTTGCATTTAAACAACTGGAATGAACACTGTCCTTTAAAGTACAAAAGTGTACTAATTGTAAGTATCAACTATATCATCCCATCTCTGCTGCAGCTGTAATTCACTAGTCTCCCAAAAGATCTTCAATGCTTCCCAACCACATTGTGCTGTGGTCAAGAGATACTCATTTGTAGGATCCAAAGAATATGTATACGCACCCATGACAAGACTCTGTACCATACGTCCAGCCACCAGGTTTTTAAATGCAGCCTTCTCTGCAGGAGTGAGCTCCAGTAAAGACATGTAGCCAGCTAGGATGTGGCCAGGAACATCCAGAACTGGTACCTCACACAGCTTCGTCATGATCATATATGCCACACTCATAGCCAGGTCATATATGGGGAAACTCTTCGCCACATCCTGAAAGTCCAACAGTCCACATATTTCAGGGGTTGAGGCTGTCTCCTCTGTTACCAGAATATTCTGTTCATTTATATCTCCATGAATTTGACCTGGGTAAAAAAAAGAAGTTGAGAGGAAGCTGTAATATTGATTAACACCAACATAATGATATCTGGGAACTATAAGTTAAATTGAACCCCAGTAAGACGGCACACTGAGCTATGAACACCTGGTGACACAAAGTGTCACTTTTGGGAGGAAAAGTCCTCAGGTTAAAAAAAAAAATAACTTGAAGTTTTGACAGTGAAGGTCATATTAAAAAAAAAAAAAACACTGGTGCTTGGCAGTCTGCCTGTCTATAGCTCCTCGAGTTCAAATTTGCATTCAGACAGATTTTTGTTAACCTAGAACTCCTAGGGGAACTCAGTCTACCTATATATGATGAAGGTCATTTGAAGTAAAGGTTGGGGTCAAGATCCATCAAGTGCTGAACGGACTAAAACAGTTTGGGTGCACCACCATATGCCCAATGCATCAGTGGCACAAACAGAGTTTTTTTTAACTCCCTAATATCTTCTTCTTCTGCTTTTTCTGAGCACTCACTAAGTAAACTCCAGTGGAAAATTCTAGATGTTCATCCACTTCTGAAATTTAGTCTTGTTCCAGAACTTGAGGTTTGCATGTACATCCATTTTACAGATCTGGTTTATTCATTTGCATACTGTTGGTTTGGTGTCCCTTAGACAGATGAACAGTGACTTTAAAATAAACTGCTCTAATTTAGTCATCTTATGACATGCTTATTAGGGGTCCACTCTTTGCAGCCATATGTTTCAAGCTGAAAGTGGATAAAGCATCGCCAGGCCATTCTTGCTGAATTTGAAGTAAAAATAAAAAGTTAGCTGGAGATCCTTCAAAAGATGTCATAACCGGCACCAGCCTTTGTTGAGTGTTTGTTATGTTACCAGGCAATTTTCTATGTTAAGCAGTTGCAATTGCCACTTAACCATCAATGTTCATGCCATTGTCAAAATCAATGCAAAGAGTATCCTGCCAAGCTGCCTACATTTAAAATGAACTGGGTTTTAGGTATTACAGAAATACAAATAATTTTCATAACCCATTAAATCCAGACGCCCACAACTCAACATAACAAGATATTAAAACATTCAGTTTACTACACTTAAATATGAAACAAAATAATTTCAAACCTGTTCTAAAATCTTTTTTGCTCGGTTCAACCTCAGAGTTATATGCCTCGATGACTTCTTCAGCAATTTGTCTCATCGCATCATCTTTCACGGCAAAAAGAGCTTCTTTTAACTTAGGGATGTTGTCCATACTCCAAGGGCATTGAAATGTTTCATAAAATGGATGTTCAAAATTCTGTAATTAGTGGAAGAAAAAGTATTTGCTATATTTTTTCAAACATTAACAGAGACTTGTGAGCTACTTATGAAAACAATCAGGTGCTATCTCTAGCATAAAGTTTGCATGCATTGGATTTCCAACACATCCTCTCATGTCTTGGTAGTACACTCAGACTGCTGTTTGTCCATCTCTTGATGTTGTTCCTACTTGTTTCACTGTCTATTTCTTCCCTTTGAGTTTTCCCTTCAGTAGAGTTTCTAAAAGAGTATTAGTCTTTTAATGTGGCCAAAATATGTCAACTTTCCTTTGGAATTTTTTTTCTCTCTTTTATGTCTTGTTAGTACACTCAAACTGCTGTTCATCCATCTCTTGATGTTGTCCTCCTACTTGTTTTGCTGTCTATCTCTTGCCATTGAGTTTACAATGATTTGATAAGAGAAAACAAAACTGGATCATGTTTAACCAGCTTCCTCCAAAGGGGAGCTTTAGGTTATATTGCGGTCTTTGTTTATTTGTGCCACATTTAATGACTTAAAACTGCTTGCCACCAAGTAGCTATGAAAATGACTCATGCAGTGTTAATTTGATGACCTAAAACACTTGATGACTGGTGACGAAGTAGCTCATTGGTCAGTGGATGGGTAATTTAGTCACTGACAAAATGACTGATTGACATTTTACCTCACCAGGACATCTTACTGAGCAATAAACACCTGGTGACACAAAGTGTCACCAATCGAATCACTCATGGACAGGTCCTAGAAACCATTTTCAACCCATAAGTTTAGTTACATGAGGGCCTCTAGCTAGCCAGGATGGGGCTTAAAAATAGAGAAAAAACTAGCTATACCGAGCCACACATTGCTGTAAAAGGGTCTGGCTAAATGGTCTATCCTTTAAAGACATATCCCCAGTATACTGGATCATGATAAAGACACTCTAATTTTGTTCCGTTTGTAGGGAAAACAAACTTTTATAAACAAGCTTTTTAACAATTAGGATTAACAACAGGAAGTCCTTTCGTTTACGACGTGCATCATGGTCGGTGCATTATTTTCTGATTTAAAAAATTAAAATTATTTAGATGGGATACAATTTTTACGTGATTTTTCTATACTAAATGATAAGAGAAAACATCTAGAACTGTTCACACTCCTCTATTGTTAATGAATCTCTGCCAGGTGGTGACAACAGTCTTGATATTATGATTGATATCTAAGGGACAAGTCTACTGGTGATAATTTGGTTTAGGATATGAAAATTTCACGAAATATTTCAATCAGATCATTGTTTTGATCAGCTTTTTTCCCCCCGATTTTCGGTTGTTGTGAAAATTGACATGTCATTCAAAAATGATCATAACATCCAAAGTATTTAAATTAATTGCTTCAAATAAAGACTAGCTAATACATAATTGAACAGAGAAGGCATGTGCATTCTTAGAATTAGATAGCAATGATGCTGAACAAGTGAAAAATAAGGCAAGCACACCCGTTTTTTTATGTCAATAATTTTCATGTGTCTAACATCCTTGAATGTTGCGTGATTGTAATAATATTTTGTTGTTATACTGACATTTAATAGTTTAGATTTATTCTGCACTCATTTATCTCTAATTTGATACATTAAATGTCCCGATACAGCCAACACCTTTTCTTCAGGAAGGTTTTAGACTTATCGTGTTGCAGTAACAAAATTAAGCTCAAAATTAATGCTGTTCAAACCTCGGAAATATTTGGTCCTGAAAGAATTAGGACCCAAAAAAAAAAAAAAATTTTTGTCCCATGCTAAAGCTTTTTGTGTGTGAATAAAACAGCTGAAAGTAAAGCTTACTACTGTACTTCTAAAAAACCAACACATTCGCAAAAAAACAAAACAAATTGAACAGCTGAGGTAGATTTATTAAAATAGAAGCAATTAATAAATACAAACTTTAAAATCGTGTTTTAAGCTCTCTCAGTAAACAGTTTCTGTCATCACTGTAAGCCCAAGGATTTAGGGCCACATGGCTAGTGCTGTCACCATGGACTGTTTATGTCAAGATGTTTAATTTTGCCCCTGTCAGAGAAACTCCATCACCTTACCAGGAGTCAAAGCCATGTCTCCTGCATGAGAGCCTGACGTTGTAACCACATGGCTAACCACAACAACAACTACTACTATTCTACAACTTCTACCATTGCTGCTACTATGAACAGATTATTCTTAAGGTGGTTACTGTGACCTTCCTGACATGGGCAGTAGTGATGGCATTAATGAAAGAGTAAAGCAAATGTAGCAGTTACCTCTAAAGTTGAGCAAACTGTGGCAATTACCTTCACAGTAAAGCAGTTACCTATAAAGCAATGCACAGTGTAACAATTACTTCTAAAATAGCATATTGTAACTGTAGCATTTAGCACTACCATGGATCTCTGAAGTGATGCTTGCCACTCTTCAAGGAGCATACTGGTCTCCGTTTTACTCAGCATGCTCTGTGAGTCATGAGTACATGGGAGTACGGCTGATTCTCAAGCCAGCGGAAGGCTGCACATCTCAAGTAAAGCATATTGTAGACTTTACTTCTAAAGTAGCACATACTGTAGCAATTACCTCTAATGTAAAGTATACTATGACAAATATGTCTCAAGTAAAACATATTGTAGCAATTAGCTCTAAAGTAAAGCATGCAGTAGCAATTAACCCTTCTAAAAACACCATACTGTAGCTTTACTTCTAAAATAAGGTATACTATAGCAATTACCTCTAAAGTAAAGTATTCTGTAGCAAATAATTCTACACATAACAGTTACCTCCAAAGCCTGTGTGACTTTAGCTACATAATGTCCGACCTTGTACAACAGATTTGGTGTCAATCTTACGTCTGCTATTATAGTTCCTGGGATGTACGTTCGGAGGGACACTAAGTATCTTACATTGATACCTGATACCGTAAAAAAACAAAACTGGTGAGATGTCAGACCATAAAACACCCCTAGGGCAAAAAGATACACACATAACAAAATAAATATTCACTTATAAGAAAATAATGGTAATAATTAAATGGCAGAATATGATTCCAAATACTGCAGTTGTTGAAAGAGCAGACCTAGCTAGCATCCACACAAGATAAATGACTCTCGCTGGGATGGTCATCTAGTCCACAAGCTAGACCACTGGCTTGCAAAATTAGTGCTTTAACTGTGATTCTTGTTCCCCTCCAGGAACTATTTGAAGAATTAAGTCAATAGCCACCAGGTGAACTACTTCTTGGATGTCTTCCAACAGAATAAATCCTAGTTTAATCTCCAAAGAATTTATAATTAGGTCACCCATACATAGCAGCTACACCAGATATAGCCCTGGTGTGCACTGTTGTCTTAGGCATAGGAATTGTCAGTATTTCATACTAAACTATAGAATTGGAAAATACCCTTGAGCAGTTATAAAAAATGCTGTGTAAACACCCTTATGATCAACTTCTACTTTTGCTGCTGAGCACTGTGGGGTGGAACATTTTGCAGTCCAGCACTTGATGGGTAGAACTGACTTTTGTTATTCCATGTTTATGATCCCTAGTAATATTGCTCTCAAATCCCTCATCGTCATGACAGGCACATAGCATGCTGCTGTACAAGATTAATCTAGATGTGGTACACTTCTTCGCGGTATAGCACAAACGAGGCAGCATAGATCACACTCACAATGCAACAAAGGTAAGGTAGACAACTCAGTAAATTATCTACACTGCTAAAGCACGTTCTGGGCTGATGTGCACTGACCTCCTCAGTCACCTGATGGAGAAGAAACGGCAGCAGCAGCAGAAGATGATGATGAAGTAAAAGAAGAAGAGGAAGAAGAATAAGCAGAAGGAGGTGGAGGAGGAGGAGAAGAAAAAGAAGAAGAAGAAAAAATTAGTCTTGGTAGTTACTGTCTTTACCTTCTTTGCATGCTGTAATACATTCAGTGATATCATCGCCATTGACACCTTTGATGGGAGACTGACAGAGAATGCCCTTCTTTAGCAGATGCTCCATGACTGCAATCTGAGCATCTTTATGACAAAAGGGACAAAATATACATCAAGAGCATGCTAACTCATAGTATCTGGTGAAAAATTTACAATTTGTGTGTTTCTGTATATTAATTTTCTATTAAAAAAAAAAAAAAATAATATGCTCAAAAATTATCAACTGAAATTTATTATAATGCATACAGTGTATAATGTGTTGATAGTCATCTTCAAGCAAAACACAATAGTACTACAATATATTTCACGTTTTAATTTATACATGAATGGTATAAAACAGGCACTAAAATGAGAAACAAAAAGATTAGAAAATGAGGGCGTCTTTAGGAAACATTCTAACAAACACTGATGAAAGAGACCAAAGGTGCGTGAATGGATTCCATAAATGATCTCAAAAGAATTGCAGAATGAAATGAAGTATTCAACTATGAGCCTATAATTCTGTATTGTATACAGTAATCATTAACACTTCCTTACCCATAAACTCCGGCCTCTGCGAATCTCTAGAGTTGCAGATTTTCAAAAAGTACCCAACAGGTGAAACATCGCCAATATAGGGGTTGTTGTGATCAGAGTCTACTAGAACATGATAGTTCAGATCATCATAGCCATTCAGACGCTTCAGTTGTGCAACAGTAAAGCCATAATTTGTCTTTATCATTTCTTTTATGAGCTCGAGGTTCTCAAAGTATGGGCATAAGGGCACTGCTGAGAGCTCGGATCCATCTTCTTTGGCACTGTATATTTTGAGGGGGAAAAAGTAAAATTAAATAATAAAAAACAATAATACCATAATAAAAGCAAGGCTTCATATACAAATAGCTGAAAATGTAGGTGTTAGAGATTGAAGATGTCATTTTTCCTAGGTAGATGCTGGGGCCACATTAGTAGGAGAAAGAATAAAAAATAAGAAGGACGGAGGAGGAAGAAGGAGAAAGTAGAAGAAAGAATAAGAAATAAGAGGGAGGGAGGAGGAAGAAGGAGAAAGAAAAGCAGAAGTAGAACAAAAAGCAGAAGAAATACAAAGTTTCTGCAGGCTTCCTACCTGGTTGTGTTGACAGTTTTGACCTCTTCCTTAGATCTACTGATGCTCAGTGACATTGCCTGCAAAAATTAAAAACATTTTATGTAATCAGTGTTGAATATGCACATGCATTGTTTCTTCTTCTTCTTTTGTCGTCTCACTGTTACCAAGTTGTAGCTGTTGTAACCCGGTGTCGTGGTTTTCTGTATTTGTCTTGGACTTCTCAGGTGGCTTGAGTGATGGATTTGTTCAACTATGCGTTGTTTAAACTGACTAAATTAGTGTCACTGTCAGGTGATCACAGGTTCAAATCCTGTTTGAGAGAATTTGTTGGGATTTACAGCTAGTTTTGTTGATCTTGTGGTAGCCAGTTTCATACCAGTCTGTTTTAGTCACCATTTACAACATGCACAGAAGGTTAGAATTAGTATTTTATACTTCCCTTATGTTATGTTATCACATTTGACATCACTGCATATTGGGCATTGCCATGCATGTTCAGCAATCTGATGCATCAGCCACTTCAAGCTACTTCTACTAATTTTTCCCATGAGGAATCAGTTATAATGTCTCCTATTTTAGCCTCGAAGGTGGCATAGATGTGTTTCACCAAGCTTTGCTCCCAAGTCATGTGATTGTGTTAGTGTCAGAGATTTGTCATTATCCAAAAGCCCAGTCCAAAAAGCATTGACAATATTTGCTCTGTCCATGCTTCTTTCCTCATTAACAAACAAGCGCTACTAAAGTTATCGACCACCAATACTCGCATTTTAGAATTCAAATAGCTTGCAATTTGTGCACCTTTCAGCTCAAAACATTTGATTTCAGCAAAACTTGAATTCGTCATGTTTTAAGGCTTGCTTGCTAAGGGGCAGTGGGTCTACCCCTCCCCCCACTAACCCCCGGCCCTGCCGTGCAGTTGAGTAACCTACAAAGGGTTTAATTTCTTCTCAATAAAACAATCATTCACTTCCCATCTCGAAGATAATGGTTGGCTGCAGCGGACATCCAACATGCTCAGTCTTCCTCCCTGGATGTACACTCTCCCAAACTGCTGTTTGTTCATCTCTTGCTGTTATCCTCCCACTTGTATCACTGTCTGTCTCTTGCTTTTTACTTTTTCCTCCAGTATTGAGTGTCTATTGAATGTGCTGGGCTGATAGGTGCAGATAATGCAGCCTAGCTGTAAACCAAGAAGAAGAAGAAGAAGAAGAGGAAGAAGAAGAAGAAGAGGAGGAGGAAGAAAAAAGAAGAAGAAGAAGAAGAAAAAAAAGAAGAAGAAGATGACGAGGAGGAGGAGGAAGAAGAAGAAGAAGAAGAAAAATTAGCATCTGATTCCCAGACAGAAAGCTGGTAGACCAAAGTTCAGTTCCTAGGAAAGATGATGGCATTTTTGAAATGTTTTCAGAGAAAAATAAACTCCTCACGGCACTGTACATAGCAACTGTACTAGCAATGAGGCCATGAATGCCTTGGTTATAAATAATACCCCTGCTCTATACTTCCCTAAAAAAAAAAATGGTAAAATAATAATAAGGAGAGTAAAAGACAATTGTATCAGTCTCTGCAGCTTAGGAAATACTTACTTACTTAGTCGCTCCTCTTCTACCTTGGGATGTAGAGGTTTGCCAGAGAGATCGCCAGACGTCTCTATCAGCAGTTTTCTTTCTGGCTTTGTTCCATTCCAGTCCTCTGTCAGTCAGGGACTGTCGGATGTTGTCTTCCCAGCGCACCCTGGGTCGTCCCGGAGGTCTCGCTCCCTGGTTCTTAGCCTCCCATGCTTGCCATGGTGGCCGATTTTCTCCCATTCTGCATACATGTCCAAACCATCGTAACTGTGACTGATCTACTCGGGTTAGTAAGGGCTGGGTATCAAGATCTTGACGTATTGTCTGATTGCGGACTTTGTCCCTTCTTGTCACTTGGACCACCTTTCTCAGGTATCTCATTTCCAAGGCCTGCAGCTGGCTTCTGTGAGCTGTTGTCATTGCCCATGACTCACACCCATAGGTCAGGACTGGTACATAGGTAGAGCGGTAAACAGCCATTTTCGTCCTCTTGCCAATTTCTCTTTTGCTAAGAAACCCTCGGTTTATGGCCTGGAAGAGTCTCCCAGCAGCTGCTTTTCGTCTAGCCAGCTCAGTCTTAATACCTCCGTTTTGGTCTAATACAACTCCAAGGTATTTGAACTGGTTGACCTGCTCCAATGCATACTGTCCCATCATGATCTGGTGTTTCTTCTCCTCTCTTGAGATCACCATGGTTTTAGTTTTGGGGATACTGATGGTCATCCCTTTTTTACAAGCTCTTCCTTTCAGACAAGTAAGTATGACTGAAGGTGTGCCTCTGATCTAGCTATCAGGGCCACATCGTCTGCAAAAGACAGCTCTGATATACAGATTGGTCTCATCTTCTAGTACCCTGCAGAGTACTTCTTTGTCTTCTCCTTACAGGTCTTGATGACATCATCCATCATAAGAATGAAGAGGTAAGGTGAGAGAATATCACCTTGTCTAACACCGCTGGCGGTCTTGAATTCTTCTGACTTTTGGTCTGCTGTTCTTACATAATTTCTGCACCTTTTGTAGAAACTCTGTATTGCACTGATCAGGGGTGCTGGGATGTTTTTCCCCGCCAAGCAGTCCCAGAGCTTGTTCCAGGATACCTTGTCAAATGCCTTTTCCAGATCCCAAAAACATAAGTGCATCTCACTCTTATATTCAAGGGCTTTTTCACTCATCTTTCTCAGTGTGAAGATAAGGTCTTGAGTACTTCGGTTTGCTCTGAAGCCGCATTGGGCCTCGTTCAGCTGTGGCTCTACCAGACTTCTAAGTCTCTTCTCAAGAATTCTAGAGTAACTTTTATCAGGAATGCTGAGGGATATGCCTCTGTGGTTTTCACATTGTCTGTTATCACCTTTTTCAATTATAGGTATAATGATGACAATCTCCCAATATTTTTGTATAGTTTTGCTACACCAGGCTGTCTGAAGAACCTTCAGTAGAAGGCGCTCACCTTCAACTCCCATATATTTGGCCATCTCTGGTGTTATACCATCATGACCTGCTGCTTTTCCCAGCTTAATCTTCTCAATAGCTGCCTTCAATTCTTCCATCCTGATGTTATCTTCCCAATGATTGAATTCCTTCTCAGCAGTGAGGTCCATTATTTCTGGGTCATGACTTCCCTCAACGCCAAGGAGCTCTGAGAAGTATTCTTTCCATCTGCCCATGATATCATTTGTAGAAGTAAGCAGAGCCCCTTCCTTGTCTTTTATGAATTTAAGTGGGCACTCTTTCTCCTTCCTCATGTTCTTGAGCGTCTTGTAGAACAGTTTTTGGTTTTCTCTTGCATTCTTTTCCAACTTTTTTCCAAACTCTTCCCATGATTTCTGTTTTGCTTTAAGCACAATATTTTTGGTCTCTGTTCTGAGTGCCACATATTGTTTATATTTCTCTATTTCTTCAGCTGTGTTCCTGGCTGCCAGGTATTGCTTCCATGCCCTTTTCTTTTCTCCTATTTTCAATTTGACTTCTTGTGTCCACCAAGGTGTCCTATGTCCCCGCCTTCCACTCGGGACTTCACCACATGCTTCTACTGCAGCTGCTGTGAGGATATTCTTGAATCTGCACCATAGGGTTTCAGTGTCCTCTGATGATTCTTCTTCAGTTCCTATTGCTTTCACTATTAGCTCCTGGTATCTAGCCTTAATATCTGGCTCTCTTAGCTTGTATGCTTTAATCCTCATCCCTTCTTGGTTGCTTGGTTTCTTGCACGGTTGTCGGTGTTGCCTTGTTGGAGCAGTTCTTTCAGTTGTTCTCTTTATTGTGACCAGATAGTGGTCACTTCCAATCTCTGGTCCTCTCATGACTCTGGCATCTCTCACAAACTTGAATGAACTTTTCCTAACTATGGCGTAGTCAATGATGGATTTTCATTCTTTGAAGGTTCACATCTTGTGTATGCATGTATACGCTTGTGGGGGAATTTTGTGTTTGTAATGACAAGGTTCTGTTCCCTGCAGAATCTGAGAAGTCGCTTGCCATTATCATTCAAAACATCTTCACCATATCTCCCGATCACTCCACCCCATCTAGAGTGATCATTTCCTACTCTAGCATTTAGATCTCCTAGGAGGATAATTTCATCGTGACAGTCATCTATGGTCCTTTGGAGCAGTTCAAAGAATTCTTCTTTAACATCTACTCCCTCATCTTCATTTGGCCCGTACACAATGACAATATTGACAATTTTATCTTCTTCTTTCAGATCTAACACCATTATTCGCTCTGAGATGAATTTCCATCCCTTAATGTTGCTAACTTGATTCCCAGCCACAATACAGCCAACACCTCCCTTGGCTCTCTCCGTCATAGGGACACCACTGTAGAGCAGCATACTTCCATCGTGATCTGTGATTCCTTGCCCCTTTTTCTTGGTTTCAGTCAGAGCCAAGACTCCTAATTTTGCTTTTCTAATCTTCTCTACTAACTCATTTTCCTTTCCGTTAATGCCTCTTATATTCCATGTTCCATAAATCGTAGTCCGTAAGCCATGCCAGTTCGTTGCCGTTAAGATCCGTCCGGTTTTCTCTCTGTAGTTACTTGTAATCAGGGTTTAAGGCAAACAGGTGATTGGCCTGTTGTGCCTTTGCATGGTGGAGGGGCTGTCTCCTTACACCTCCATGCAGGCCGTCTGACTGATTCACGGTTACCCACTACTTCCGGAGACGCATGAAGCACTCAGGTTCAGTCAGACCCTCCTCCTTTTACAGCCAGGCTTGGGACCGGTCTTAGCGGAGTTGCTTAGGAAATAAAAGGTGGTTTATAATTCCAAAATACCCGAGTCGATGCACCAACAGACAGGCAGCAGACTGGTTCACTTTGATTTCCCCACTGATATGGAACGATGAAAACTCAGAAAGAAATGGCAAACTAGTGAATGTAAAACTGCTTAATAAAGACCACAAACAGCCAACAAAGGTTGAAGCTGGTTAAACAAAATAAGTTAAATTATAGGCAGTCCTTACCAACCCACACTGGGCTACAGTTCACTGTGTAACCACTGTTTGGTGACC